GAGGAGGGATGAGGGATGGGTGCTTGAGGTGGGATGGGGAGGGTGTATGGGGCGGTTAGGAGTAGGGAGGGATATGGGAGGGCCCGATGGGTGGTAGGCTGTGTGTGTGTGTATTGTTGGAGGTTTTATGGTGAGAGAGGGTGGGGGTGAGAGAAGGTGGAGGGGGAGGGGGTTAATCAGTGGAGGGCGTAATGTTGTCACATGGAGATGTCAAAAAATTAGTTCCCAAATGAGCCGTATATTGTCTCTTGAGGTTCGTTTCCATATTTTACCTTCTATCCAAAACTAAATATAATATTGCAAGAACACTATACAACGTATGATTGACTGACTTATTGAGAGGCTCTTAACACCAAATCAACATCCCAAAGCAGAACTAGGTGTTAAGAAGCACCGTGAGAAGAACACACTGTGAGAGTGTTGGCAAGCCTGCCAGTAAGCCTGCATGGCAGCATGAACAACACTCCCAATAGGAAGAAAACCAGCTGGGTTGTTCACCCGGTAACTTGTAGCCAGTTACAATGGGACTTGCTTAACTGTCTAAAGTGAATGGTTACTCAAACAAGAAGATTAATATCTGTCAACTCTTAAAATCTTACGTTATCTTGCAGGTGCAAAATGGGGGAATCTTTTAAGAACAGTATCAATATTTGACAAATAGTGTTTTCCTAACTCAAACAATGTGGGGTTTATTATTCTACATACATATCTAATGTCCCTCAGTTGTTCACATTCGCTCAGGCAGTAGTCAAGGAGGTGTTCGTCACTTTCATCACAGTCTCCAACTCCAATGCTCAACTGTTGTTTCAATTCCGAATGTCCATGAATATTTGTATCCAAGACGGATCCTCGGTATTACTGATTTTCTCCCGCGGTCACCGCCTCTTCGTCCATAATAATTGGGATTGCCAGCTGCAACCATGTTGTACCATTGTACAGATTCTCTGATGTGTGCTTCTATCCTCCTTTCCTTAGCAACCATGTTGCGGTGATGTTACCTGATGATACCTCTAATTTGTAGGAGAGTCTTAGGTATGAAGTATTCAATATGGTGTGAAGGCGCTGAAGGAGCTTCAGCACCTTCAGCAGCCAGCACATTTGCTCGTTCATTTCCACATATTCCAGCATGGGAGGGGATCCACAGAAACTTGACGACTCTTCCCTGGTTGATTAGTACCCTCACGGCTCTCAACTTCAGAGACAATCGCAAGATTTTCTGCCCGATTTTTACTTAGGCTTTGGAATGCTACTTTTGAGTCAGTGGAGATCACTGCTCTATTAGTATTCCGTTCAAGGAATCTTAACGCAATAACAATGGCAGTTAGCTCCACTTGCGTTGAAGAGGCATAGTTCTCAATATGTGCTTTTTCTTCATTTCTGTGTTGAAAGGCATTAGTCTTAATTACAGTGTATGCTGTACCAGCTCTGCCATTGACAGCAATAGAAGACCCATCAGTGTAGATTTGATCAAGTTCATCTGCAGCTTCTTTATAAATATACCCGATATATTTGTGCCTCATTTTTTGTGTTACCATGTTGGATTTTTTCGCTGCCATTTCGTCGATGATAATCCTGTATGAGTCATCCTCTCAGGGAGGTAACCTCTCTACAAGCATGAGTTCACGGGCTTGCTCAAGCAGGTGAAGCTCTTCGAGGTAGCAGACTGATCTGTGATGCCATTCTCCAGTTTCCTCCTGTAACTAACACAGAACTCGGTTTAATTTGGCAATATCATTGTAATAAGAATCTCTGGCTATCCTAATTGCAAGCTTAGCATTCAGTTCCCTAATTCTGCTTTTAACACTAGGATTAAAGTAACTTTAACTCATCTTATAGATTAGACGTTTTGGCAGTTCTTGGAACTCCAAGAGCGATTGCCATGGCTTCATTTTTTATGCTTTTGAGCCTTTTCGCTCGAATGCTTTCGCTCTGTGACTGGGCGCAAAAAACTGGTGCGGCATAGTCAATATGTGCAAAGTCGCACATAGGCTATGTACATCATTTTAAACACGGCAATAGAGGCTCTATGTCCATTCCAGGTCATAGCTTTCAGAGCCCTGAATCGACTTTTGTATGTTCCTATCAGTTGGTTGAACTCCCTTTTCTTCCCCTTGTTAGAGCCGACAATGACTCCAAGGAAGCTGTAGTGGTCAACCCATTCAAGTGTTACACCATTAATTTGTAGTTCTTCATTGCCCCCCCCCCCCCGCTTGTGATGAGAATATGCTTTTATCTTGTTTGTAGAGAGATTGAAACCGAGCTCAATACATTTCCTTCCAAGGAGTTCAACGGACTGTTTAATTTTTCACAAGGTTGGGGCTTGTATTAGGACATCGCCTGCATACCCCACTTTCTGCATCCCTTCTGGAAAATCAATATTTGCAATGGCATTCATAAGTACATTGAATAGTGTGTGGCTTAAGACTCCTCCTTGGGGCCTGGGGAGTACCGAGTTCCGTATTCATTGTTCTTGAGACTGCTCCACTGAAGTAGACCTTGGCTTTCCTCCCTTGAAGGTAGTCTTCAATCCATTTCAAGAGTCTCCCCTTGACACCCATGCATGCAAGCTCGTTCAGGATCGCAATCCCTTGTGCGTTGTCGAAAGCTCTTTTGATGTTACCAAATACAAAGTACCTAACCGGGTCATTGGCCAGATAATTAACGATATATTTTGCCGTGCTCCGTCCTTTTACAAATCCATTAACCCCCTCCGCTTACCTGCCTATTGTATGCAACAGTCGGTTTAGGATGATCCTTTCAAGCATCTTGCAAGTGCCTGGCATGAGACTGATAGGACTCTAATTGCCAGAGTTATTGGGGTTCGATATGGGAACGATTATTGCTTGTTTCCATTGCGCGGACGACTCTCCACTTAGGAATGCCTTGATAAACAAGTGAAGTAGGGGATTCCCAGACACCTCACACAGTGCACTGAGTATGTCGTAGGTGACTCCATTCTCACCAGGTGCAGTACTTTTACCCATTTTCATAACCTCCTTACTTCCTGGACTGTGATTGGTTGCCTATACTCGTCATCACAAGACAGTTCTCTTGTTATCTTCTTTCTTCTGTCATTATGTCGAAGGAGCTGTTCGCTGCTGATTTCTGCAGGGAGGGAGGAGGAGGATGCTGCATCACTCCACTTGTGAATTAGTTCCTCAGCCTTACCCTGGGGGTCTTTGCGAGCCGCAGGCCGGGCTCTGCCCCCCCTTAGCTATCTGAAATTTTGCCCACACTTGTCTTGCAGATGTTTCTCTTCCAATGGAGCTAGTGAATTCAAGCCATTGTCTTTCCCGCTCTTTAATCTTCTCTTCCCTGGCTACTTGACACACAGTTTTAAACAGCTCTTGGTTACTTTCAGTGGGATGTCTCCGATACTCTCTACTCATGCTCCTTATATTTGCTTTGAGCATCTTTATGTAATCGTTCTCATACCAGTTTATTTTCTTCTTTAGAGGGTTACTTCGCCCAGTCGCACGGCGCGGAGTTCTAGGACAGCTCTCAATTTAGTTATTAAGGTCATCAACAAATTTATTAGTGTCTTCTGAGATTTGATATTCCGTGAACCATTCACTCATCTTGTTTATGAAGTGCGGCCTCATATCTGCCCCGAGTAATAACCTTTTTTCTTTTATTTGTCCCTTTCCCTCTCTTGCTCATGTCGACGGTGGTAATCAGTGCCCAGTGGTCACTACATAAACTGTGCACAATGTGTGTACTGGCGTCCGTGTCCTGTGCATTCATCAGAAGAGCATAGTCCAATTTTCCTCCTCTGAGGTGAGTTGGCTGTTCATCACCCAGGACACTAAGGTTTTCACTTCCCCTAACATTGAAGGACAGTTTCCGTCTATTGGCATTGGGCTGATGACAGTGAGAATATTAGCAAACCTGCGAGTAAAGAGTGTTGGCAAGTCTGGCTGTGAGAATGTTGGCAAGCCTGCAAGTGACAGTATTGGCAAGCGTGCTAGTGAGAGTGTTAGCCTGCCTGCCAGTGAGAGTGTTGGCAAGCCTGGCAGTGAGAGTGTTGGCAAGCCTGCCAGTGAGAGTGTTAGCAAGCCTGCCAGTGGGAGTGTTGGCAAGCCTGCCAGTGAGAGTGTTGGCAAGCCTGCTAGTGAGTGTTAGCAAGCCTGCTAGTGAGAGTGTTAGCAAGCCTGCTAGTGAGAGTGTTAGCAAGCCTGCCAGTGGGAGTGTTGGCAAGCCTGCCAGTGAGAGTATTAGCAAGCCTGCCAGTGAGTGTGTTAGCAAGCCTGCTAGTGAGAGTGTTGGCAAGCCTGCTAGTGAGAGTGTTGGCAAGCCTGCTAGTGAGAGTGTTGGCAAGCCTGCTAGTGAGAGTGTTAGCAAGCCTGCTAGTGAGAGTGTTGGCAAGCCTGCCAGTGAGAGTGTTAGCAAGCCTGCCAGTGAGAGTGTTAGCAAGCCTGCCAGTGGGAGTGTTGGCAAGCCTGCCAGTGAGAGTGTTAGCAAGCCTGCTAGTGAGAGTGTTAGCAAGCCTGCTAGTGAGTGTTAGCAAGCCTGCTAGTGAGAGTGTTAGCAAGCCTGCCAGTGGGAGTGTTGGCAAGCCTGCCAGTGAGAGTGTTAGCAAGCCTGCCAGTGAGAGTGTTAGCAAGCCTGCTAGTGAGAGTGTTAGCAAGCCTGCCAGTGAGAGTGTTAGCAAGCCTGCCAGTGGGAGTGTTGGCAAGCCTGCCAGTGAGAGTGTTGGCAAGCCTGCCAGTGAGAGTGTTGGCAAGCCTGCCTGTGGGAGTGTTGGCAAGCCTGCCAGTGAGAGTGTTGGCAAGCCTGTCTGTGAGAGTGGAAGGGAAACCCGTGCCTGGACTTCCCCGTGTTCCACCAAGTACTTCATTATCGCTGAATAACACCCTTGAAACTGTGGTAGTTTGTTTACTTGATCAACAACAACACGTAGCATAACTATACCCATTACAATGCCAGTAGTGTAGACGAGTGCGCATGTTAGTGTTGGCGCTCACTGTATCTATCCTCGCTACACCCGGGCCTGATGGCAACCTCATCAGAATGTGTTTGTTTATAAAACAAAGTGGAGGCGCAGGGCTCCGGTGGTCCCAGTTTGTTTATTCCTGTGGTGGCCTGAGGCTGGAGAAGACTTCCCTCCCTCTACGCTCCTCACTACGGGAGAGACCTCAAGGTGAGACACTCCTTAATGGTGCGACTTTAGGTTAGGGGACAGTTTAGTTTAGTTTAGGTGTTAGGGGACAGTAGTCAACACATCAATCAGTTAAAAGTTTTATTCATAAATGTGTGTACATTTATAATTGGGAAGGGAAGGGAGCTATGAGAAGAAAGCGCCAAGCCATTACGACTATATAGCACTAGGATGTAGTCAGGATAAGGATTTGGGAGGGGACGGGGGGGGGGAGAAGGAATTGGGCCCAACCACTTGGACGGTCTGGGATTGAACGCCGACCTGCATGAAGCGTGACCGTCGTTCTACCTTCCAGCCCAAGTGGTTGGGTATCCTATAATTGGGATTTTACATAAAAATTCCACCACATAATTACATCAGAGAGTCACACTACCAGCAGAGCAACGTAGACATTGTCAGTATCAGCATCAGAAACTTTATGTGTAACAAATATTACAAATCATTGCAATACTGGCTGGACTAAACGGGTGTTTACCACTCACTCTAAAACACACTTACATTTATGGCAAAAAATAAGGGTCGATGTAATTGATATTGTTGATTACAATTTGAAGTGTGATAATATATTGACACAACACAATGTGTGGTTTACCATTAGAGCGGTAAGGCTGATATTGGCACAACACAATGTGTGGTTTACCATTAGGGCGGTAAGGCTGATATTGGCACAACACAATGTGTGGTTTACCATTAGGGCGGTAAGGCTAATATTGGCACAACACAATGTGTGGTTTACCATTAGAGCGGTAAGGCTGATATTGACACAACACAATGTGTGGTTTACCATTAGGGTGGTAAGGCTGATATTGACACAACACAATGTGTGGTTTACCATTAGAGCGGTAAGGCTGATATTGACACAACACAATGTGTGGTTTACCATTAGGGTGGTAAGGCTAATATTGACACAACACAATGTGTGGTTTACCATTAGGGTGGTAAGGCTAATATTGGCACAACACAATGTGTGGTTTACCATTAGGGCGGTAAGGCTGATATTGACACAACACAATGTGTGGGTTACCATTAGGGCGGTAAGGCTGATATTGGCACAACACAATGTGTGGGTTACCATTAGGGTGGTAAGGCTGATATTGGCACAACACAATGTGTGGTTTACCATTAGGGTGGTAAGGCTGATATTGGCACAACACAATGTGTGGTTTACCATTAGGGTGGTAAGGCTAATATTGGCACAATTTATATCACAACTATTTGATGAGAAAACGGAAGTTTATAAAATATATATTAATCATTCCATTAAATAATAGATATTTGTACATCATTATCATGCTACAGCAAGAGAATCAGTGGTGTTCCGGATCAATGTCACTCCAAATACACATCTCATAGAATAGAGATCTGACTTCAATAGGACTCAAAATACCTGTCACAGAACTACTGTCACAAAGAGTTGGGTTACTGGCAGGCATTTTGAGTCCAGTGGTAGTCAGATCTTTGTTATTTGAACAATTGTTTTCCAGTCTACTTATGTTCAACCGACAACAGCCGCCTAAAGGGAGCTGTTGTCGGTTGAGTCACAGAGGCGAAACAGAGGCATTAAAAGTAAAGGAACCTGTTCAAACGTCTCGAAATGCACAAAAATTTAACCTTTTACATTGTTCTTATATGTCAACTGAGAAGGGTCTTGACTCTGAGGCGACATACTCCAAGTCTGGTCTCATGTAGGCAGTGAAGAGGTCTAAATACCTCCTTGTTAAGTCTGGTCTCATGTAGGCAGTGAAGAGGTCTAAATACCTCCTTGTTAAGTCTGGTCTCATGTAGGCAGTGAAGAGGTCTAAATACCTCCTTGTTAAGTCTGGTCTCATGTAGGCAGTGTAGAGGTCTAAATACCTCCTTGTTAAGTCTGGTCTCATGTAAGCAGTGTAGAGGTCTAAATACCTCCTTGTTAAGTCTGGTCTCATGTAGGCAGTGTAGAGGTCTAAATACCTCCTTGTTAAGGTTCCTGAACGATGTTGTGAGTTTTGGTAGCGTAGAGTATGGTACCGATGTTATCCTATATATGTGCATCTGGAGTTAGGCTTGTTGCTAGGTCCACTAGCTGTGTGGGAACCGACCTGTGAGATTTATATTTATTTAATTTATGTGAATTTATATATAATTTATATTTACGTTAATTTATATAATTCGATAGCAATTTGTATGATGATAAGTGGACTGTATTTCCGCAATAATCTCACAAATCGATCCATACACATTAGGGAGGGGGTTTATATTTAATTTATATATATGTAGCCAATCAAACTACAGTATTAACTACATATATTAGTATACATTGAGGAGGTTCCTTATCTTATTGTACAGCAGGCTTAGTCCACCAGGTATCACTAGGATGTAGCCACCAAATTATCATCGATTGATGCTAGCTTCCATCACCCTGGTAACTGATATACCAAGCTTGCTTCCTCTTCTTGACCTGTCAAAGGGAGCTAGCTGTAAAGCCAGAATCCTAATATATGACAGCTATATCAGAGAAAACACTGTATATTATATATGATAAGGACCAAGGCTTAATTACCTTTAGTATGAGGCGAGTTCGCATTCTAACCGGTTTGCCCAATATCTACCTAACATTAATGGCCAAAAATGATTAGATAAACGGGTTTCGGTAGAACACTTCCCTTGATTATGTTGACAGTGTGTTGATGATGGAAGACCACCACTCTGATCTCCTCCACACTTCGTCCAAGAGAAATTATAGGAGCCGAATTTGCTCCCTGCGCCTCTGGTCTTAACAACAATGGCTGACCTCTCCTACCTCACTGATGCCTAGCCTACTTTGTCCAGATATCAGTAACTGATAGAAGGGTCACATTTACTTTATTTTGATACTGATAATTAAGTTAATTTATATGTGATATTTTTATGATGGTAAAGTCCAAAGACTAATATATTTAATAATAATTCCCAACACAATAGATGGTGAATTTATAATAGTATGTGGCAATGATATCCCGTTTTTTATTGACGGAAAATTCCACTACAAGCTACATTTTCTATGGGTTAACTTGTTTATATAATGGCAGCAATATTATCTGCCTGTTGAATTGACATTAGTAAATGGTGTCGGATTTTCCGACAAGCTGGTCTTCTCTAGTCGTTATTGGGAAGTAGTTTCCCCCTTTATCGTGTACTGTCCTTTTGGTCTCATTTTCATCACCTTTGTTCGTGTTGAAATCCAGAAGTCATTTTTCATACCAACTCTGCCTTCTTGCTTAAGTCATCTTAATCTTTTCAATCCTTATCTGCCTCTAGTTTTCTCATAAATTTGCAATTGTCTGCAAACATCGACATAGAGAACTCATCTCCTGTAGATAAGTCATTAACATAAACGAGATCCTCGAATTGCCCTATGCCAGTCCGACTTCTCCCCCGTCACTGTGAATCTTTTACTTCTGTCTGTTAGGTATTCGTTTACCCCATATCAGTGCTCTTCCACTTGCTTCCACTAGCCTCTCATCTTTATGTAATAATCTCTTATGTGGTACTGTGTCAAATGCTTTTTGGTAGTACAGAAATATGCAATATTTCACTTTCTCTGTCCTGCTTTATTTTCGTACTTTATCATAGAAATTCTGAAGGTCCAATAAGCATGAATTCCTCTCCCTAAAACATTAACATGTTTGTTTACATATATACTTCTCTCTAAGTGGATAACTAGTCATGTTCATATTATTATTTTGAGTACTTTGCAGAAAATGCTTATGAGTGATATTGGTCTGTAGTTGTGACGCCTCCATATCTCATTCTTGTAAATTGGTGCTACATTTGTCTTCTTCAATCAGCTGGGTAATTCTTGCTTTGCAATTGAATCATTCAATATCAGTGCTAGAGGTATGCTGAGGACATTCGCTGCTTCATTTAATATGCATGGTGATACATTGCTTTATATATTTATTTATTTATATATATACAGCGAGGTACATTATGTTTGTGAGAGTACATAACATTGATGTTTTTATATTCTTACAAAACCGCTAACATGCATAGCGTTTCGTCCGTAATCAAAAAGGGAGTTATAAGCAGGTAATTTGTAGCAAAATTTGAAGAATATTGATAGGTACATTGTAGGAATATTTGAAGAATATTAATAGGTACATTGTTGAAACATTTGAAGACTATTAAAATTATTAATAGGTACATTGTAGAAATATTTGATTATTAAATGGTACATTATAGCATAATTTGAGTTCAACATAACAACTATGCTGTAGGTTGATAGCAATGATTGCAATGGTGAAATTGCATGTCTTAGGCAAAAATATTGGGGGGATTGGGTTACACAATGTGAGTTTGAAGCACTAGGTAAGAAACTATGAGGACGAAATTAAGTACTTGCTGGTTTTACTTTGAATAAGGCATAGGTCGGACAGCTTTTTAATTCGTTAGGGAGTGAGTTCCATAGACTAGTTCCCTTTATTTCCATAGAGTTAACACAAATTTAGTTTGACTCTGGGGATATCAAAGAGATATTTATTTCTGGTGTGGAGATTATGGGTTCTATTACATCTGTCCAGGAAGAGTTTCAGAACAGTGTTTGCATTTAGGACCTGACAGCCAGAGTGGAGACCTGGCAGCTGAGGGGCCTGCGGTCTGGCAACTGGGGGGCCTGACAGCAGAATGGAAAGCGCTCTAAGATTCCGGGTTCGATCCCCGGTGGATGCGGAAACAAATAGGCAGAGTTTCTTTCACCCTGATGTACCTGTTCACCTAGCAGTAAATAGGTACCTTGGAGTTAGACACCTGGTACAGGCTGCTTCCTGGGGATGTGTAACAAAAAGGAGGAATTATCATTACCGGACCGCAGGGATGCTAAGCCCCAAAATCATCTCAGGATAACCTCAACACAGGAACAATGTTTTGTACATGTAAACAGCATAAGAGAATGAGTGGTGTAAGTATGTTTAGCATGTTTAGATATTTCAACAGAGGGGCTGTGTGTTTGTCTGAAAACAGAGTTT